TGCTTCCTGGATTTTGATGTCTGTCTCTTTCCCCAGGTTGGGGAAGTTTTGTGCTATGATTTGCTCACATAACCCTTCTACCCCTTTTTCTCTCTTTTCATCTTCTGGGACCCCTACGATTCTGATGTTCCTTTTTAATGAGTCACTGACTTCTCTAATTCTTAAATTGTATTCTTTTGCCTCAGTCCCCTCTTTTTTTTTTTTTTTTCTGCTTCATTGTTCTCCATAAGTTTGTCCTCTATGTCACTGATTCACTGCCCTGCTTCATCCATCCATGCCGCTGTGGCATTCTTCGAGATTGCAGCTCAGTTAAAGCATTTTTTATTTCATCCCGACTAGCTTTTACTTCTTTTATCTCCACAGAAAGGGATTCTAATCTCTTTTTGGCCCCAGCTAGTATTCTTATTATCGTGATTCTAAATTCTGTCTTGGACATTTTGCTTGTATATGTGTTGATTAAGTCCCTGGCTGTTATTTCTTCATACTCTTTCTTTTAGGGTGAATTCCTTCGTTTTGTCATTTTTTTAAACAATTTTTTTAATGTTTATTTCTAAGACAGAGAGAGACAGAGCATGAGTGGTGGGGGTGGGGGTGGGAGAGAGGGACACACAGAATCAGAAGCAGGCTCCAGGCTCTGGGCTATTCACAAAGAGCCTGACACGGGGCTGTAACCCACAAACCATGAGATCATGACCTGAGCCGAAGTCGGTCACTCAACTGACTGAGCCACTCAGGTGCCCCATCTTCGTTTTGTCATTTTGAAGGAAGAAAAGTAATTGATGAGGTAAAAAAATTAAAATTAAAAAATTAAAAACAACAAAAAATCAAATAAAAGATGCTAGATCCTAGGTGTGTTCTGGTCTAGTTGTTAAAAGGAGCTTGACAGATTAGAGAAAAAAGGGAAAGATAAGAAAAGAAAAAAATAAAGGAAAATGGAGAATTTGGAAAAATGAATACAATTAAATAGAATAAAATGAAACTATGGAAGTAAAAAATTTTAATTTGAAAAATTTACAAAAATAAAAAATTTAGTAGCAAAAAACAAAGAAAAAAGTTTTTAATAGAAATGGAAAATAAAAATTATTTCTCTTTCTGTATTCAAGAATAAGAAAAGAAAGGAAAAAATTTCACTAGATGGAGCAGCAAACAGGCTGAAGTGTGATTGAAACAGATTAGTTTCCCCTAGAAATCAAACTATGAAGCATTTTTCAGTCTGTAAACTAAGCAGGTGGAGAGACTTGTGGTGTTCCTGATGAGTGAGGTTGGCCCAGTTGGGCGGGGCTTAGTGTAACAGCTCTGTTCTCCACTAGAGGGCGCTGCTTAGCTTACTGGGGTGGATTGTTGTGGTGTCTGTAGGTGTGTATGGGCCTGTGCGGGAAGGATGAAAATGGCATCATGCATCTACCCCGTCTCTAGTATCAGAACTCTGCTCTCCCTGATCAGCAGCTGTGCACTCCTTTATCTCCAGCTTCTGTCCACTCCCTGCTTTTACAACCTCAGGTTGCTGGGTGGCACCTCCCTCCTGAGTTTTATCTCAGATGAGGCTGTTTCCCAACCCCTCACTTCTGAGGTACTGCAGGTTTGGCCAGCTCAGACCTTCTGGGGGAGGGTGTCACTGAGCAATGGCTGGTTGATGGCCTGCCCTCAGGAATGTTTAGGAGATGCACTGCTGCTGATACCCAGAGACGGTGGCTGGGTGCCAGCCCGCCCCAGAAAAAGTTCATGTGATCGTGTAGCACTAGCGTTACAGGGATTATGGCAAATCACACACATCTGGCCCCAGGCTTCTCCCTTAACGTCCTTGTTCTAGCACCAGTGAATGTGGTTGTTCTCTGGAGTTTGCTGGGACCTTTGCTTGTGGGGAGGCTGCACAGCCTCTACCAAATGTCCTCCCAGCAGAGGAACCGCCTTTCTCCCTGTGGTCTGTGGACCCCAAGGACCTTGCTCTCTGCTCCTTGGGATTGCCCTTCCCACCAGAGCACCACCAGGTATCAAGCTGCGGAGTTTCAGACTCTGCACTCCCCCTGTTTATAGAGTCTTAATGGAATTTAAGCCCTCTCCTTTCTCTTTTCTCCATTATTTTGTTCACTCCCTTGAATACTCATTCTTTTCAGCTGCATTTGGGTGTTGGGGGAGGGGAATGTTTTCCATACTCTGTCCTCTCTCTGCAAGCAAAAGCAGGTCGCTGCCCTCCATGGCTTTCTCCCCCAGTTCATCCCTCTGCACCGCATACCTGCTGAGTTCCTTGGTTCAAGTTGTGCATATTGTTGTGTTAATTCTCATAGCAGTTTTCTAGGTGTGCAGGATGGCTTAGTGTTGATCTGGCTGTATTTCAGAGATGAGAGACACAAAAAAACCTTCCATGCTGTTCCGCCATCTTGGCCCCCTCCAGGACCTGTTTATGAAGTTAGGAAGAGTCCTGTTTTGGCACCAGGGTGCTGCTTTCTTCATCAGCCCATTTATCAAATCAGTCTGGTGACTGAGAATAGCTCTTGGATTTACCTAGTTCAGGTACGTGGCCTGACAATACCTGCTGTAGTTCTTTTAATGGAGATTTTAGTAATTTAGTAAACACCAAAATACATTGGGAAGCATGGTCTCATTCTTAGAATGGGATATGTAAACTTTGCTAAAAGTTAATAACTCTAATGTACCTTTTATACAAACCCATGGTTGACTGCCAACACCTCCTAATCAGGTTACTGTAGGTGGTGAGGCAACATTTCTGGTATATTCTGTTCCTGCTCCTCCAGCCATGCCTTCTCCACTTTTGAGCTTCATCCTTGTCCAGAGTTCTATTATTATTCATCTTTAGGTTAATAACAGAGATCTATGTGTCTCTTATCAATATGTCTTCCAAATTCAGTTTTTCATGAACAGGTGTTCTATTTCAATTAGAACTTACAAATGTTGTTTGTATTGCTTCTGTGTTTTTTAAACTGTTAATTGCCAAATTTAGGGATTTTTGCTGCCTGAGAACTGTGGAAGCCAGGATCCCTATATTCTGCTTTAGAATGTCTTCTTGGTGCCTGGGAAGAGTGTCTTCTTTGATGAAGATAAGAACCAAATAATGGTCATTGTGAAGTCCTTGGGTCCCAACACCCTGGAATGAATGTCTCCTTGATGTTGACAGGATTTAGGAGGCTAACTACAGAGTCAAAAATCATGGTGATGTTTGTAGACATGAAATTGAACATTCAGAATTTCTGGATATTTCCCTATACTGTTTTAATGATAGCTCTGATATTTACTATTTATTTTTGGTTTATGGGGCTATTTTTTATTCTTATTTCTTTCTAGACCACTAGGCTTTCCATTTGGATATCCATTTGGATATCTCTTTGGAAAGAAATATGTTCATGGGTCATATCTTTGTAATCTTACCATTGGTTCCCAAATGGTGATCTGTGAGCCAATACTAACTATACTACATCAAAATTCTTTGAGAGAATTTATTAAAAAGTATAATCCCTGAAAGCTTACCTAGAATTTCTCATAAATTATATATGGGGTAACGCCTGTGTTTCTAAGGAAGTTCCTAGGATATTCTTATATGAAGCTGGGTTGAGAAATGCTGATCTGAATGGTAGATATCCCATTTAGGTTTGGTGGAGTTTTAGATTTTATAACAATAATAATTACTAATATGGTAATACTTATTGGGCATTTATTATATATCAAACATTTTAAATGTCTTGTGGAACATATATATTACTTTTATGAAGATTACTATAATCATAAGAGGTAAATATAATTATCACCCTCATATGGGGAAACAAAGCTAACTCAGAATCACATATCTAATGATTGGAATTTAAGCTTATAGTCAAAACCATTCAATCCTAAATAGTATGCTACCTAAATGTAAGGAGCAAGTACTGGTTCTAACTCTTTCTCCAACAGAGTGACCTTGGAGAAGACATTTAAATATTCAGGAATCTGTGGGTTTTTTTTTTTTTTTTTTTTCATTTGTAAAATGAGTGTGTTAGGTTAGGTAATTTTCTAGTTCATTTTAGCTCAAAAACGATGCTTTTTGTATGAAAATGAATTATCTTTAAGAAGCATAACAATGAACTAATCTCTAATGTATGAAACATTTATACACAATTTACAGAAGTATTCATGGAAGTATAAACCTTCAGTACACTTTGGCACCTTTCACACTAATCTTTCATTTTACGAACACTTAATATATACACTTTCTGCTCTAAATATTGAACTGCAATTCTCTCTTTTGCTACAGTGTAGGTATCTAGTTATTGGGCTTATCTATGACTCAGCTCTGCGGTTCCCGGGATTAATGTACACTTTGACTTTTCTTTTGCCATTTCTAACTGTCCTATAGTGAAGAGACTTTGCCAAAAGTATTGTTGTCTTAACACTTGAATCACAAGAGCATTCCTAACTTTTTGTCTTCTGTATTCACTGTTCTGTGGGTCAGAAATGGAGTGGAACAATTGTATAATTTCTTGTACACTACACTTCATAACATGGTGGCATTTTGTTGTGGTGGTGGTGGTTTTTTGTAAATGACTTGCTGTTTCCACCCAGCTTCCTTCCCACGGACTAGACAAAATAATGGTACTTACCAACACTTCTTTATTAACCTGGGAAGACTCTGTTGAAATTTAGTTCTCACTTTTTAAAAGGTGATTACCCTTTTTCTCAGGATTTAGTTTTTAAAGCATTTATTCAGGAAAACATACAGTAGCTTATAGGCTTTGCTTACATAATTTCATATTGAGTTTTATAATATGAACTATGTAATAAAAATGCAGATCATATTAGACAGCAGGGTAGGGGAGCATACAGAAATCAGACACACACACACAGATTACATATGCGTATATATATAAATTATATATTATGTATAATATACTATTTATATTGATTGGTAATGATTTTTATTTTCTGATAAGCTCATGGCACAAATTGTTCAGGAAAGTTTCCACTATCACAAATGTTTATTGGTGCTTTTTTTTTTCTTCTGTTCCAGAAGACATGCTTGCTCTATGGTTCCAGGTTCCATGAAGTGATATGTTATAAGACATATCGATCTGCAACAGAATCTGAGCATTTTTTTTCCAGTCAGTGCTCATGAAAAGGAAGTACAAAGAGTAAAGAGAGTTAAGGTACTATTTAAAATTCTTTTATGGCCTCTGAATAATTTTCTTAAAAAAAATGAAACAAACCTCCTTTTACTAATGTTAAATGTAACTCAGTCAAATAAGTAAAGTCTGATTATTTTAGAAGACTTTAAGATATAAGGTTTTACCAAATCATTCCTTTAAAATACTCCACATAGTTATGGGTTTTGAAGGTATATTTGAAATCATCATTAACATAAAGAGTCATTGGGACCACCAAAGTTAACATTTATAAGTGACCAGAGAAGCTTTGTGAAAATTAATTTCTCCTCCAACCCACAGATAAACGTTTCCATCTGGCTAACTTGTGCACATTATCTAATGTAATGTTATTTTCTGATTGATTAAATAGAGGACTTGAGACAAAATTAGCATTGGAAAGAATATCTCATTTAAGATGCTATACTAGAGTATTATTATTTAATCTATTCTTTTACTACAAACAGGGCTTCATTCATATAAATTTTGTGAATGTTGTGTTGAGTGTCATAGATGAGCTCAAAGAGGAAGCCAGTTCCTATCCCTAAGGAGGTTGGAGTTCATATGTGTGCAGTGGCCTCATGTTCTTTTTATTTTTCTTTATTTTAATTTTTAAAATTTATTTTTTTATTTTTTAATATAATTTATTGTCAAGTTTGCTAACATACAGGGTATATGGTGTGCTATTGGCTTTGGGAGTAGATTCCTGTGATTCATCACTTACATAAAACACCCAGTGCTCTTGGTGCCTGGGTGGCTCAGTCATTTGAACGTCTGACTCTTGATTTCAGCTCAGGTCATGATCTCGTGGTTTGTGGGTTCAAGCCCCACATCGGGCTCTGCACGAACAGCACAGAGTCTGCTTGGGATTCTCTCTCCCTGTCTGTCTGCCCCTCCCCTGCTCATGCCCTGACTCTCTCAAAATAAATAAATAAATATGAAAAAAAGTGTAAAAAAACCCACCCAGTGATCATTCCAACAAATGCCCTCCTCAATGTTCATCACCCATTTTCCCCATCTCCCTCCCCTCCTAGTAGCCTCATGTTCTGATCTTTTTAAAATATAGTTCTGATTGCAAATAGTCTGTATCATATTCCTATGACAGATCAAAATATTTGAGAACCATGTATTTCTATACCCAAACTACTTCTGAGATTTCCTTATACTGTTATCAAAGGCATAACTATTCTTTGGAAAACTTATTGCAGTTTTGGGTTTAAAAAATTTTGATCAAGGGTAGTATAAAGTATACAGTAAAGTATAAGGTTATAAATATCTTTAGAGAGGTGCAAATGAAATACTGTTGCTTTTCAGAAATAACTTGTATCTTGCAGGATCAAGGAGGAACTTAGAGAAGCAATGACATTTGAAATAGACCTCAGTATTGATAGTGGCAATTGATGATTGCCTAGCAGGCATTGTTTGCTTAATTGTTTATATACATTATCTTAGTTTGTTCTTCAAATTCTGTGAAGTAGCTTCAATTATTTAATAAGTGAAGAAGAGAGACATCACAAAGGTATGCCGTATACCTAACTGGGGATGGAACTGAGGATTTGAGGATTTAAACTGAGGTATGTTTGACTCTGTTTTTTTTTTTTTTTTAAGTTTATTTATTTATTTTGATAGAGACAGAGACAGCACAAGCCATGAAATGGGTAGAAAAAGAGGGAGAGAGGGGCGCCTGGGTGGCGCAGTCGGTTAAGCGTCCGACTTCAGCCAGGTCACGATCTCGCAGTCCGTGAGTTCGAGCCCCGCGTCGGGCTCTGGGCTGATGGCTCAGAGCCTGGAGCCTGTTTCCGATTCTGTGTCTCCCTCTCTCTCTGCCCCTTCCCCATTCATGCTCTGTCTCTCTCTGTCCCAAAAATAAATAAAAAAAAAAAAAAAAAAAAAAAAACCACGTTGAAGAGGGAGAGAGAATCACAAGGCAGGTTCAGCACTGCCAGCACAGAATTTGACACGGGGCTTGAACTCGTGAACCCTGAGATCATGACTGGAGCTGAAACCAAGAGTTAGACGCTCAACCAACTGAGCCACCCAGGTGCCCTTAAACTCTGTTTTTAAATTCACTATATCTATTGTATTTGTCTCAGTAGAATTAAATATGCAGAGGGGAGGGTATAAGGAAGAATATTTGAGACAGTGGGAGCAGTATGTGCAAAGACACAGACTGGAAAGCACAGGAAACAGCAGAAAGAAGTTGATTTGTTTGGAGCTATTGGTGTATGGTTAATGAGAAACAAATTTGGAAACACCATGTGGGGCAAGTTGGTGAAAAACCCTGCCTTGCTTGCTAGACTCAAGATGCTGACTCCTATCTTAAGTGATACATTTATTGGTAGTTAGGGCTCACGAAAGGTAGTTAGGGCTAATGGGATCAGTATATCAGATGTTGGAGACTGAGAGATTCATCACAGGGTTAGAACTTTGATCCAGGAAAGCTCCAATGAGGATCTGAACTGCAGAGATGGATGGAGGAGGCCAGGATATGGAAGGAAGTACCAAGGTGCAAAGATGAGACCATGTGACTTAGTAGATACAGGTTCTTTAGGAAGAGACCCCTGTTTAACATGGAACATCATGATTTTGTGCACACTGATTCGGATGCCTAGGTGGACATTTTCGGGAGGCATTTGGAAGAGTTTGCTTGTAGGCCGCCACCCAACTGTCTTATTAGGAAAGGAGTGCTGTATGTAACAAGAATTTCGAGTGAAAGATGAAGCAGAAATAAATCAGCATTCTTTTGTTCTATGGGAGACACTGTTCTGCGTGCTTTACTACAATAATCCTATGAGATAAATACTATTAACTCCATTTTAAAGGTAAAGAAATGGCTTACGAGAATTTGCATTTTGCCCAAAGTCTCAAAGTATTAGTAAGTAGTAGAGCTAAGATTCAAACTTAAGTCGGCTTCACAGAGGGGCCTGAAATCATCAGTCTTTGAAATTATTGTTCATTTATTCATTTATTATTTATTTTATTTGGCATTTATTTTGCCCAAAGCATTACTCAATCTCCAGAAAAAATTATGTGGAAAAGGCAGTCCGATACAATGCTATTCACATATACTTTTAAAAGAAAAGCCCACAAAATGCTGCATATTTTCTGTGGATACTTGTAAAAAGATTCTGGAAAAACACACAGCACATTGGTAACAATGCTTACATCTGAGAAAAGAATCAAGATAGGCAGAGAGGTTAAAGAAAATGTATGTCCAGTGTTTTAATTATATGGAAAATATATTCATGTATTATTTGTATAATTAAAATTTAATTTAAAAATGAATATTCCTGCCTGCAATATGGCTTCCCTTATGGGCATGATTATGATATAAAGAGTCTGAATCAAGTAAAGGAAGAAATAGGATGAATTTATGGAAATTATCTTGAACAACTTTTGTGTTAAGTGAGAGACTTGTTTTTTTTGTTGTTGTTGTTGTTATTGTTGTTTCCCACGAATGGCTGCTGATATCCTCTGAAGAAAGTCAGGCAAGCTTCCATTAGTTCCATGAGGCACAGCCAGTTAGTTGGGCAGACCTCATTTTTCTGAGGAATGTGTCAGGCTATTCGTAGTAGCCTGAGTGGCAAATTTGCCAGTAAGAGTCTTGGTGTAACTTGCTCGTTCATGTGGTTGGAATCACTGAAAGTCAGCTGAGTTCATTTGTAAGTGGGCTGACACCTGAGTGTGGCTCTGTCTTCTTTTGAGCTTCCCCACTGAGGGCCTCCTTTAGCCCCTTCAGCCTCACTCATGCCCCAGCCCTGGATCCACACTCCAGTTATAATTGGCTTCTGCCATATAGTCTGATTTCGGCCCCACGAGGTTCTCAAATCTGCTGTTTTCTTTACTGTGTTTCCTCTTAGCTCCTTAATCCTTCTCATCTTTCCAGTCTCAGCATAGATTCTGTTGCCACCAACGAGTCATGTGCATCTCACTTCCCGCACTAAACGGGGTATTTCCCTTTCTGTGCCCCCTCACCCCAGACCTCCTACACTGTTGCACTCCCTTCTCTTATCTAAGGCGTTTCTCAACTCTGGCTGGACAGCAAAATACAGTGAAGCTTTAAAAAAGATGAATGTTTGGGTCTCACCTCAGACCGATTGCATCTGAACCTTCAGGATTATATATGGGTATTTACTTTGTAAATCGTGCCCATCATATAACTGCAACTAGTACTTCTTGATATTAAGTACGTTAAGAAAGAGGGGCTCTGGTTATCTGCAGCTGTTTGCTTTACTGATACTGAAGACTTTCTCACAGTCGTCAGTTGTGTGGCCTTACTGGAGTTACCAGGATGATGTCAAAAAGACAGAGATCTCTTCAGCTTGCTTAATTTACAGAAACATTTTTTACATCATATATTTTCTGGAAGAAGATGAAGGGGCATTTAAAATGAGGCTCAAAAAGTAGATATACACGATAGCTTATGTAAAGCAGTCTCTCATTGCAGTATCTTTCACTATCCAGGCTAGTTCAGCCTCTTCCCATCACTATACCAACTCATCTCTGATGATAGCAGTAGGATGAGGTATTACCTACATGGAGAAAGGTATATAATACTCAGGTTTGTCCTCTAGAGTCTCATTCTTGATCTCATGGGCTCTTAGTGTGAAGAATCTACCAATCAACCTTTAACTAGTTGTTGTTGGATTCAGACATTCCTGATACCCTGGGGCCTAGTATACTGCTCAAAATCTTGTGTGTCCTTTCAACAATCCATATCCACAAATCAAAGAGAAGAGCTTAGTGTATAAGAACCCTGGCTCTGGGTTGGGGGGCCAGCTCTGCCATTTCAATGAGCTATGTGCTTCCCTATGCTTCCTATCTATAAAATGTGGAAACCATAGTACTGTATCTACCTCATAAAGTATTAGCAGTGTTAAATGAGTTAATATACATGAATAACTTAGAAGATTTATACATTAGTAACTTAGAAGATTATCCAGTGTGTTGTAAATGCTTTAAAAATATTAGCTATTTTAAAACTCTCAAGGATTAGGTATTCATCT